ATGATGTCTTATCTTGGTCTGGGGGATGCATGCTAATCTGGTTGTACCCCGAGTATGCATCCAGGAAAGTGAGCAACTCATGTCCAGCGGTGGCGTCGTTGAGGAGGTCAATTCGAGGCAGCGGATAACTATCTTTTGGGCATGCCTTGTTTAGTTCTGTGAAGTCAAGACAGAGGCGCCACTTCCCATTAGCCTTAGTAACCATTACTACGTTGGAGAGCCACTNTGACGCAAGTGACCACGCTGGATGAGCTCCTCAATTTGCCTCTTGAGGTCGTAGCAATCGTCGGTGTCATGCCCGTGGTCACGATGGAAGCGGCAATACTTGTTAGGATTTGTGCGATTTGGAGGAGACTTCATTTTTCCAAGCCACTTTATCGTGGGGTCNTGTCCATGGCTTGGGCCCTTTCAGTGGAGGTTCCCCTTAACTTTTGGCGAACAGGCTCGTACAGTGGATCGACATTGAGGCGGTGGGTAGCTACTTCTGGGTCGATGCCCTCAACGTCCTCATGCGACCAAGCAAAGATGTCCATATTACGCTTCAAAAAATCAATCAACAGGGGAGCCAGCTCTTTAGAAAGGGAAGAGCCAATGTAAATTCTTCTGTCTGGGTGCTCTTTTTCTAAAACCACAGGGATGAGTTCCTCGACTGGTTCTCCTCTTTCTGTTGCGGAGTCATCCCTTGGGTCAAGGACCTCAACCTGCAATGCTTCTTGGGGCTTCCTAGCCTTCATAGAGGATACATAGCACTCTCTGGCTGTTATTTGGTCCCCTTTGACCTCTCCGATACCATTTGAGGTTAGAAAGCGGAGAACGAGATGGTAGGTAGAGGGCACAGCTCTCAATGTGTTAAGAGCTGGCCGCCCTAATATGATGTTGTAGGCTGACGGGCACTCTATTACCTGGAAGTTGACCATGACTGTGGAGCTTCGGAGTGTTACTCCGGCGGTGACGGGAAGTGTGATGGATCCAAGGGGATACACTTTTTCCCCTGAGAATCCAATGAGGGGTGACCTGATTGGCTGTAGCCTCTCCCTGCCCAGGTTGAGCTTGTCATAGGNTACTCCGACGGTGACGGGAAGTGTGATGGATCCAAGGGGATACACTTTTTCCCCTGAGAATCCAATGAGGGGTGACCTGATTGGCTGTAGCCTCTCCCTGCCCAGGTTGAGCTTGTCATAGGTCTCTGCAAACAGGATATCCGCAGAGCTGCCACTATCCACCAGGATCCTGTGCACATGAAAATTGGCCACCGTCATGGTGAGCACCAAGGGGTCGTCATGGGGGTGTTGGATTTCCTCCAGGTCCTTGTTTGAAAAAGATATGACCTCGTCGCCTTCCTGCTTCGGCACCTTAGATGGGCGCATCTCGTAGACATGTCTTGCCTTCCTGGCATGGGCCTTCATCGCGGAAAGTGATTCTCCCCCACCTGCTAGTCCCCCTGAGATAGTGTGGATTTCCCCCACAGGCTGCTGATCTTCCTGGTTGTGAGGTTGTGGTACTCGTTCCCTTCCAGCAACGTACTGACGTAAGTGACCACGCTGGATGAGCTCCTCAATTTGCCTCTTGAGGTCGTAGCAATCGTCGGTGTCATGCCCGTGGTCACGATGGAAGCGGCAATACTTGTTAGGATTTCTGCGATTTGGAGGAGACTTCATTTTTCCAGGCCACTTTATCGCGGGGTCATCCTGGATCTGGAATAGGATGTGTTCCACGGAAGCATTGAGGGGAGTGAAAGGTTGACGGTTCCTCTGAGGAGCAGGACCTAGCCGGTCCTTGACAGGGACTTTCTCTGTCCTGCCATGTTTGTTGCTGGTCCCCTTCTTATCGTCCCTCTCCCTTTCCTTCCTTTTATCCCCTGCTCTGGAAGACTCACCCCGCCTGGCCCTTGTGATGTCTTCTGCGTTTATGTACTTTTGGGCCTTGGCTAGCAGCTCTGGCATGCTCTTCGGTGGGCGCTTCAGAACTGAGAAAAGGAAGCTTGATGAACGGAGGCCACCCAAGAAGGCGGTCATCGTCACCTTGTCGTCGGGTTCATCAACTTGGAGTATCTCCTCGTTAAAACTAGTGAGGTAACTCCTCAGGCTCTCCTCACGGTCCTGCTTTATACTAAGCAGGTGCGTAACTGGCTTCTGGTGGTANTCCTAACTTTCCTTCGCGTGCATCCTTTGTAGCGAGGATCAGTTTTTTGAGGACCAAATCCCCAGGTTGGAAGGAACGGGGCTTCACCCTCGAATTGTAGTACCTTGTCATGCGCCGTTTATACTCCGCGTTGCGGACTATAGTCATCTTCCTCGCTTCCTCCACCAAGTCGAGGTTGTTGCGGAGTCCTTCCTCGTTGGTGATGGGATCGTGGTGCTGGACCTTTAGGGAGTGTACCCCTATCTCAACAGGGATGACCGCCTCGANGGGTAGTTTGCTACATCAGGTTTGAAAGGCGTATCAGTACGCCTTACCAGGTGGTCAACAGTCTCGGGTCCCTGTGCCTTCATGGCGTTGAAGACATCACCGAGTTGATTCTGTACCTCCTTTATCTTTTAGTCCCAATGATTGGGGGCTCTTCTGGAATGATCATGGAAGTGGCTTCCATGCTCCATGCTTTGGTTTTCACCCTCATCCTCCCGGAGAAAAAGGTCCTCTTCTTAGGAAGTAAGGGGAGGGGGAGGTGGTGCTCCCTCATGTTGGGCACCTCCGTGGGGCCCTCCATGTTGTGCATCTTCGTGTGGTGCTCCACGTTGTGCACCTCCGTGTGGTGCTCCACCTTGGTGTCCTCCATGCTGTGCACCTCCGTGTGGTGCTCCTCCCTGTCCAACAAGTATGAGTTGCAGTAACTGTTGGTTTTGAGCAACCAGTTGCTGCATGGTCTCTAATATTTGCTGGGGATTCGGGGCTAGAGTATCCGGAACAGGGTTGATAGGCGGGGGAGCAACCTCCTCCTCTCGTGGAGGATTGTCTTCATGTTGGTTCATGGATCGAGTAGTGATCGCCATTAGTTAATGGATGTAATGTTCAGGAGTGAGAATTTTGTCGATTTCCCACAGACGGCGCCAAACTGATGATGCACAAAAATGGTTTTGCACACCACCTGTCAAGTGTAGATAATAAATGCAGTGAAATCAATGAAAGAATTAAATAAGACACAATTTATAGTGGTTCGGTCAATTGGACCTACGTCCACTCTTCAATGGCTTCAGTTGCCGGGTATATTATTAATTTAGAGGTATGGAGAATAGAGATACAAGCTTTGAGAGAATGGAGAATCAAATAAAGTGGTCTCCAGTCGTCGATCTGTCCTCTGTAAGTGTTGGTGGGGCGTGACCTTCATCTCCCGTCTCCTCACAGATTGGGGCTACTTTATAGCAGCTAAGAGATCATTCTTGTGGAGATCGTGACTTATCCTCAATGCTATTTTATCGCAGCTAAGAGATCATTCTGATGGAGATCATGACTTATCCTCAAGGCTACTTTATCGCAGCTAAGAGATCATTCTAGTGGAGATCATGACCTATCATCAACGGAAGGAGGAGGTTGGGGAGCTCTTCATGAAACGTGGTCAAAGTTTGGACCGTTTCTTTCGGTGGTGCAGATAAGCTTCTCATGCTCTCCTCTTGATGACGTGCTAAGCAAAAAGTCTAATCGGTCTTGGACTGTCTTGGGTTTGGTAGATTCAAAATGAGGTTGAACTCCTCAACTAGAGTTGGAATTTAACACATAAATTAGACTATTTTTGGTTTAACCCATCAATTTTTATAGATATTTTTATTATTATTATAGAATATTTTTAATAATACGGCGAGAACTGCTTTGACAACTGTATTGCTAACAGTGATACAATACTTAAAAATATAATAAATGTTGATAAGATATCATTGATTTTTTTTATTTTGGAAGTACCGCATACAACTCCACGCTATCTTGACGTAGATGCCGAATAGTCATGACATGACCTTTGATAATGACCATATAAACAATTGTTACCACCTAAATATCTAGTATTTAAAAACATTTCATAATTAATTTGCCATGAACTCTTGTTGAAGATGACAATCTCCATTATCCAAAGATGTTCTAGTTTATCCCAATCTGATTAAAATCCAAACGCCTCAGCAATGGAGGATGTTATCCCGAGTGCCGAAAGGGTATCGATCGATAGGTCACATGCAGACGAAAGAGGGGGTTAGAACAGTGCCAAAACAGAACTGACTTTTTCTTGTGTCCACAACCACACGTCGTCAGGTGCTCCTCTCTGGTCCCCTTTAATTTATACACTCAAACCAAACACGTTACTAGATTAGATCCACCAATAAACAAAATATCTCTCTCCATTAATTTCAGTCACTAAAATCCCATTTTTCTCTTGAGCCCAATGGTGTGAGATTGGACATCGACTCTCATTTAGTGTTTTTCGAGTTTAACTAATATTTATAATTAATAAATAATTATATATACTCAAGTTTATTCTCCAGATGGAGTAATGAGATTCAAGTCCGTCACTTTAACTTCTAACAACAACGAGAGAATAATTTTGGGATTCAAATTCGCGATAATAACAAGAGTTGCCATTATACCAACCATCAACATCCTTATTCCGTTTCAAACCCACGAACTTGGGTGTATTTTTGATCAGATTGAACAAACCATTTCATTTCATACTCATCCATCCAACCCCAACCCTTGAATTAATCATAGTAATAATACCTTATCATTCCATGATTGGTTGAAGTAATAAAAAATAATAAATCCCACATTCATTTCATCTAATAGTGTATTTAATTTAATCAAATTGGAATGGCATTTAGATATAAAAATAAAAGAAAAATGTTACTTTGAAACTAAATTTAAAGATTAAATAATTATTTAAAATTTTTATTGAAACCCAAATAATACGACGTCAATTAAAAAAAATCAAATCAACTGTTATATCATTTTACTTAAAAAATAAAAAAACATTTTTACTTTCAAAAATATCTAATTACTCTTTATCTTGTTGATTTGTCCTTCCTGAGGCTTAAATTAAACACACCCTTTAAGGTACAACAGAGCTATTTATCCCTTTTCAAAGCTTCACAGATTTAGAACCCCAGAATCAATCAACCCATATTCAAAAACACCAGAATTCAAAATTTGAGAAAAAGAAATTGAAGTAAAAAGGAGATATTTCTGACAGCAGAATGAGTTTTTCATTAAAAACCCAGTCTCTTCCATCGTACACTAGACCCCATGAAAAGCAGAGACTCTCATGATCCATAGCTTACAACTATTATACAAACAGAGCAGAGGAGAGCAGAGCAGACACAGAGCAACCATGAAACAACCATGGCCACTTTATTAGGGATACATAACTTAAGGCCTACATCATCATCATCCTAAAGCCTATACCCCAGACAAAACATGACACAACTACTAAAACTACATACATGGATTATATTATTTTTCTTCATGAGAGTTCATCATCTCTGCTTTGTAAAGGCTGGTTGTTGTTCTCATTTGCAGTTGCATGGGTCACAGGTGCAGTTGTCTCCGCACTTGCATCCATTCTCAGCACCTACACCCATCTCTGATCCCTCAAAATATCTGCCACAAAAAGCAAATAAATTACATAAATTGACTTCAAAGATCAATTAATGGGGTTACAGACTGATTTGAGATCAAATAGTTAGTTTGCTGAATAATATTTTTTGGGTAAGAGAGAGAGAGAGAGCATACGTCTTTTGGGGTGCAACACCAACAATGAGAGTCTCGGTGGTGGTGCTCTCAGAGTAGCTCAAGTCAGGGTACATCTTGCATCTGCAAACAATTTTCCACAATATTGGGTAAATGTTGAGAAGCAGTTCCAACAAAGAAAACCAAATCAATAATAGATTGTTTCCCAGAAAATTATTTCAGAAAATAGGAAAACATTTGAAAAAAAAAACATAGCAGACTGTCTTTGATACATACTTGTAACTTGTGAATCCTACTGAAAAATTTTCGAACCTAAAATTTCTAGGGAACCATACAGAGATGAAAAAGATCATCAAAAAAGCCATACCCAGAACAGCCAGCGCCGCACTTGCAGCCAGCTCCACAGCCACAGTTTCCTCCACAGCAAGACATTTTTCTGGAGAGAGAGAGAACAGTTGAAAGGATGTTATTTGACAATTGAGAGGAAACAAGAGGTCAATAATGAATACCACAGAGGGTTGAACGAGTACTGCGGAGAGACCCATTAATCCAATTTATAAAGGGTGGAAGAGAGATAGTGCTGAGTAACACCGTACAAGTGTCATGATCTTACGGTGGTGTTAATCCCAACATAGTCGTGGTCCAGATCTGTGCCTCTTCTTCCACGTGTCTGTCGTTTTCTGTGGTTCTAATCTGTCTCCTAAATCCTTACGATTACGGGGAACCCAGTTTCTAATGGAAAAGGTTTTATTTTAAAATAAATTATAATCGGATCTTCTTGAAATTTTTCACTTAATTATCTATACCTTATATATTTAAATTTAAAATATCTATATAATAAGACAGCTCGTGCTTTAAATTCTATCACAGTCATTTTTTTTTTTACAAAATCATCACCAGCCACTTACCTCACCCATCATCTCTCTGTCAAATTCAAACGTCAAGTCGCATTACTTATTTTTATTATATATTTAATCATTTATATATTTCATCTCTAAAGATATCACATCATTCATTTTTATCATATGTTTAATTATTTAATATTTAATTAATTTATAGTTAATATAATTTTTAGTTTAAACATTATTCAGATATAATAATATACACATGTTAAAAAAATTTAATATAGTGGGATCAATTTTTTGACACTCGAATTTTATATTTTTTCGTGTTTTCAAGTACAAGTTATGACTAATTATGTAATATTCCTTAAAATTTATACACGTATAACAAAGACTTTTGTTAATAATATTCATTAATATATCCGTTAGTAAATTATAATCAGATCCTTGTAATTAAAAATATATAATACTTAAACCCCTTAAATTTAAATTATTACATTTATTTTATGTTATAATTAGATCTCTTAAATTTAAAATTCTTGGATTAAATGGACTTTTTACATTAGATCAATTTTTTCATCATCACGTACAAACGTATAAAATAAACTTAATCAACACATTTACATGTTCTATTATATCATCTATTGATATAAAAATCAAACAAAATTCTAATTTTTTGAGAAAAAAAAATAGTAATTAGTATAAATATATCTAAGAACTCAATTCAACACTCATTTGTATACAATTATACTGTCTATTAGAATAAAACAAAAACAAAAATTGAATAAGAGATCAAATTATAGTAGACACAATATCTTTTATCTTTAATTGAAACAATTTTGTCATTTAATATATTTCATTAGTTTTGTAATGAAAAAAGAAACTAAGTATAATATTTCAAATTTAAAAGGTCCAAATATTATACGTTTATAAAATTTTAGGGGATTTGGATATAATTTATTAAGAAATATATTGACAAACATTGACTACAAGATCTAAGTGTTACGCATATATAAACTTCGAATGATCTATATATAAATATTTTAAATGTTAAGGATCTAAATGATTAAGTAATAAATTTTAAAAAATTTAGACCTAATTTTCCCCTTTTTTTGGGAGTCATAGGAAATGTTAAATTCTCAATTTATCAAAGTATAACAACTATTTTAACTTTTATTTATTTTGATCTAATAATATAAAATTTATTTTAATTTTTTTCTCACTTAAAAAAATTATTAGTTTTACATAATATCAAACAATCAAACTAACACAATCTAATGATAGATAATCTCGTTAATTCACGTATACCTCCAATTTGTTCTCTATTATCTCTATCTTATTTTATTTTAACTTTCTTTTTGATACTGAAACCAAATAAAGGCACTTCCCAACCCCACGCCTACCCCAAAACCCAAAAAGTGGGATATGCAATTTTAAGTTCTTTTACCTTTCCATGAAGTTGAACTATTTTTTGTCGAATTTTAGTAGTTTCGTATTAAAAAATATTTTATTATATTTAATTTATTTATTAATTTGTATCTAATAAATTATATTATATTTAGTTCGTGTCGTAAATAAATTATATATAATCAATATTTAAACGAGCCGTGTATAAAAACTTCACCAGAAAATGTCCCAAAAAAATAGCAATTTTGGTGGATTTAGTTTAGGGGTCTAATGCGTTGCAGCTATATAATTAATTGTGATTTTTAATATTAAATAAAAATCAATTTTTGCTATTATTTTTTTAATTAATTAAATTCTCAAATTAAATTCCCATATTAATACTACCATGTTATGAGCAGTTCTGACGCTTAATTTTAGGTCTTTAAAGCTCCGTTTGATACGGTAAAAAAATAGAAGAATAAAAAATTTGAGGAATAAATAAAATATTATGTTAGGCAAAGAAGGAAAATAAGATGGATGGAAAAATGGATGATGAGTTTTCTTTCTCACTCACCAAATCTAAAATTGAAAAGAAGGTAGATGAAAAGTTAATTATTTATGTTCAAATGTATTTTATCTGTCTATATATCTTTTGATATATACATATTTTATGTATACATTATTTTTATATATAGATACAATGATAAAACATGTATTTATACTATTTTTTTAAAAAAAAATTTAAAAATTGAAAAATATTTTTTCTATCTTACAGAGCACAAAAAAAAAATTAATTATTTTTATTTTTTATCCATCCAACCAAACACAAAAAAAAAAAAGTATATCATTCATATTTTCTTTCCTTTAATGATAGAAAATATATTTTTTTTTATTTTTCATCCTTCGTACCAAATCAAACGGTATACCAAATCAAACGGTAAGTATGGATCGACTCATGATAAAAAAAAAAAAAAAAAATTTCGATAATTGTGTAAGTCCCAAGTTAAAAATCACAAAGTAGAAAACGTGATCATGGGGCCCCTTCCACATTTTTCTCAAAATAAAAAAAATGCAGTGATGCATCCACCATCTAAATAAATATCAGATGAGAGTGACTTTTTACCTATCCCAAACAGTCACAGATTGCTAAATATCTATATCCTGGGTAATGTCAAAACCCTATTATAATATCTTCACCTTAAATATTTCCTTGGAATCACAGACCTCTTCAAGGCAACATTAATTATCTAATAGTTTTCGTATGGTAAAGTTGCAGGGATAACATATCTGAGCACCAGACTTTATGATAATTACAAGTTGGAGTAACATGGTATTACAACAATTCTTCGTCAAGATTTTCGAGTTTCTTTGTCTTCATCGCTAATTGTAAAAATTCCTTGCTCGATATGATTTACAAAGTGGAACGATTTTGGAACAAGAATACTATCGAGCTTTACACCTATTTGAATAATGACATTTTACCATTGATGATATCAAAATAATCTATGGTTTGGATAGGTGAAGTCCGGTTGGGACAATATAAATCGAACAAGTCAAGACATGACAAGTAATCATATCGAACAAGTCAAGTTAGCTCAGCTAGACTAGTTCAAGTCAGGTTAGACCAGTCCGCCTAGATTAGCTCAAGTTAAGTTAGGACGTTCAAGTCAGGTCAACTCGGCCACGTTAATTTGATCGGACCAAGTTAGGTCAGGATGGCCAAGTCAAGTTAGCCTCAGTCAGTGGGTATCCAAATCAGTAATGAGATTTCAAAACACGATAAACAACATGGAAACTACCAGAAAGGACAAAAAAAAAATAACTTTCACCATTAAATTCTACATTCGACAATAAGTTACTGTTTTTAGAAGACCATGTCATATTAAATATTCTCCAAATATTCCCTAAATATACTCTAAATATTTTCTGACAAATCTGTTATAAAAGACAATCATCATTGTGTAAAAAGGGTGTTCTAGTATGATGCCTCAAGCCAAGAAAAAAGTCCTGTTGTACTCATTTTATTCCTTAGAGTGTTCATTACAGTAGAGTAACCCACTTTTTAGCTAGGTGAACCACTACATTTTATATGCATTCTTTACTTGTTTTGGCGTACACACAACGCACCTCATCTAAAGCTCTTATTTTTAACACCATAAAGCATCAACATTGACCCTGATTCCGATTTAATACCACAGACTATCAAAGATTATAGTGACTATCATAAACATATTAGTCAAATATTCGAACAGTTTAAACAATTCCAATGGAGCAAACAAAAGATCTACTATTAATTTCTTTATTCTTATATATCATTGAAAAAAACCCACTCATAGTCTCAGACAATCAAAAAGAAAAACCACCCGTTTTAGGAGAAACACACCCTGGATTCTATTTCTCTAAAGCAGTGGACTAGAAACAAAGGTTCTTCTTCTTCTTTTCTTGAAAGTAGCAAAATCTCATTCCATTGCATTCTGAATCATTCAATGATGATATATATAAATCTCAAATTCTCTCTCTTTCTCTGGTATCACGTGGGCTGTTGGGTCCTACATTTTCCCCTTTCAACTCTTCGAAATGACAAATGATAAATTTATGCTGACTAAACAACAGAAAAGGGTCCTAGCTTAGCTAGTTTCAGCTACGCAATAAGTTGTGGTGGGGCGAAATTGAACTTCGTCCGTTTGCCGTGGGGGTGAGGAATCCCTTTTGACGCGGCCAACAATTTTAATCATCTCCCGCCTGTAACTTGCAGTTCCTTGGGTGTTTATTGTGATCTTGTACTACTGTCCTACTCATGCATGTACGAGGAAGGGAAAGAATTGTGGGGAACTCTAATTATATACTAAATTCTGTGAGAAAGATTGAACTAAAGACTCAACCCTTGATCATACCGAGTATTTTATCGAATTCTAATTATATAGAAACGATTAAATTTCATGGGATGATGAAGTAGAGGCGTGAGAACTTCAGCCCCCCCACCCCAACCTTTACTTCCATAAAATTAATGTGTACCGAACCTTGGCCAACGTTTCTTGTTCGTTTTTTTTTGTTATCAATATTGTTTAGCTGGTGACTGCATATAGAGTTCAGAGAAACATAAGGGTGGCAGTTTCATCTATTTGCCACGACAGTTTCACTTGTGTTGGCTTAGGTGTGAGTGGAAAGAACAAAAAAAAAATCTCTTTCTGAGAGAGAGAGAGAGAGAGAGTCGTATCAAAAAGGGAAGGAAGTTCTGGAGGAAAAAAAGACATGAAAAAAGAATATGGAGAAGGAATTAAAAATTATGCATGATGAATATTTCGTGGACATTTACTCCTCGTCTGTCATTCAGGTTAAGTTTCATCACCATAACAAAACTGTTTTGGTATTTACACTAGTGTAGTCTAGACAAATAGTTACCTTTCCTCCCTCTAAACTCTCTTAATTCTAGTATATTGTCATGATGATTATGGAACCGAATTACTAATCTTATATTAAAAAATGTTATCTTTGTAGTTCAAATTGTAATCATAACTCTCGCATTAAGAAGTGGAGAGATGTGGGATAAAGGAGAAAAGTGAATTGCAGAAAGAAAAAGTCAAGAAGGCTGCGAAGCAACAGTACTAGAAGAAATTGGGGAAGTGGAGGTCACCATTCAATGAGTCAGAAGAAAATGGAAAAAAAAAAGAATGGAAGAAAAAAAAAGAAAAGATAATGGCATAGCCTTTGTCGGAGTTTGACACAAACTCTTTAAGTGATTTATTTTTTATTTATTTATTATTAATTTACAACTAAAATTTTAATGGGTTTAAGAATTTTAACCTATAAAATATTTTAATTAATTTGTATACTTTAATTAAAGTTATTATAGAAGTGACGTTATTAATTTTTTAATTGGGTTAGATCTCTTTGATATTTAAAGTCTTACTTATAATTGTAATATGTATGTCTGGTCAAGTGAAGTTTGAGTTTGTCATTGGGCTTCAACGTGTTCATGAGTTTCATTGTTTTGGTCGAAAACTTTCTCTTCTAATTTCTCGTGTTCTTTTATGATTTCTTTATGTGCGAAATTATTTTTGAGTAATTGATTATTTTGAGATCCTATAAACGAATGATTCACTTTTTTTCTTGAGAAAATGAGTAAAAATGAAAAATCATACATTTTTTAAGCAAATTTTAATTGCTTTTCAAGCTTAGGTATCAGATACTTTAGTCTTGACGTAAATAACATATTATTGACGGAATCAAAGAAAAGATTAGTCGATGTACTTGCAAATTAGCCCCAACACTCTAACCGTTGAACAAAAAAAAAAAAGCAATAAATGAGGCTGAAAAAGGGTAAAAGAGAAGGGCAGTGGAATCAAAACAAAGCAAGAAACAAAATAAAAAAAAAAAGATGCATAAAGCGCCCACCGTGGGGCTCGAACCCACGACCACAAGGTTAAGAGCCTTGCGCTCTACCAACTGAGCTAGACGGGCTTGTTTGTACAAGGTCTCTTCTGATTATATAAAAAGACATTGAACAAACAGCCTGACAAATTCACATCAACCTTGGTCATAGATTCTATATGGCTTAATGCTTCTTTCATGCAAGAAGCTTGGGGGAGTTCTTGGATTTTATTAAATATTAGTACTAACAGTACAGTTTTGTTTTATATTCATTTGTCTTATTATTAAGGCCTATCACCACAGCAATATTGCCGCTTTGTATGGAATGGATAGGCTGTGAAATAAATGAAGGTGGCTGTGGAATTAACGTTGCACATCACACAAAGGTAGGACAACATATGCATTACTAAATGTGAATATGTGGCTTAAAGTCTTAAACGTACACCATATTTACAGAAGCAGGTCTCAAGCAACACCACAAAAATCTCCACTGGCCAACTACAAGTTGGCAATCTAAGTGAAGAATTACACAGTTGTTAGACTTTCTTCTAGACTCTTAAAAAATAATCTTTTGACAAACTCTACATTATGTACCAGTTTTTTCTGTGCAAGATTGCAAGTAGATAAAACAACACTATGTAACCAGGATGTATATATAGGCAATGTGATGAATGGGGCAACTTGGGAGAGAACCTGGTGCAGTGCAGCCATAAAGAGCTCAAGTACCAACAACTTCTTCCAATATATCATTGAATATCATGTCCTCCAACTCAAGCCCCACGCACTCGGCATCAAACTGGAGGGTCATCCAACCATCATCTTTTGTTAAATCCTGGCTCACAGCATCATCCAGTGATTGTTCAACCTCGTGTCTCCAGTGTAAGTACCAGCTGATATTTGTCCAGACCTCTTCAAGAACATGGTATCCCACTGGCATTGGACGGATGTGAGAATGGCTAGTCAAGCACACAGGGTAGTAGGAGAATGATCTCTCATAAATCCCCAACAAGACCTCATTGATAAGATCAAACAAAAGGAGATGGTTACAATTGCCACCATCTTCATTTCCAGAACAATCAGGCTCAGCAAGGAAACTCCCTTCCACTTCCTCAAACACTGAGGGGTCCATTGGATGGTCAGCAGAGTGCCACGTCCCAAGTAACTCGTTTCTACTGAAGCCAGATAGCTCTAATACATCTCTAACATAACAGAATGTAGTTTTGTCTTCTACATCCAACTGTATATGCAGAAAGTCACTATTAAATTGCCTGACTGGAGTTTCTGATCTCTCAACATTATTTCCGCTCTTGGCCACATAGGGGTCATTTATGCTCAACTCAGGTTGCTGATTAGCAAGAGAATCCGCTAAATCGGAAAAAAGGCATTTTGGCCTTAATTCTGCATCTCCTAACATCAAACCATAAACATAAATCATCCACGTTAGAAATACAAGATAGATAGGCATAAGTTGTATTACTATTCGGTACACACACATATGGACCAAGTTATAGGATCAGAGCAACGATAACATAACTCAAAAGTTCTACATACAAGAAAAATGTAAACTTGGTGTTGAGTGATAAATGTTTGTAACTATTCCACTCAAGACATTCAAATACGTAAAAAGAAAAAAGTTTGGAGATTTCCACAATTAGCAGGATAGAAGTTTGGAGATTTCCACAATTTTTTGGTCATGGTCCAGTTAAGTAACAGTTTGCACAATGAGTGACACATGTACAACCCTCAAACATGTTCGTCTTTCTAAATTTTGAAAATAATTTTTCAATGGAATGATGATGCAATATATGTACAAAAATCATGGTATAATATTCCCATCACCCCCAAACAACAATTAGGGATTACATACATAAGTGTGATGAGGTGCATTGCATATGAGATGAAAAGAAAAAGATGACAAGGAAGAGAAAAAAATTTGGGAAAAGGTAGATACCTGAGTCAATTGTATCCTGAGAATTTGAGTCAAGAACAGAAATTGGACTTGGTTTTTCCCGTGGACTTATTATGGGCCCAAATTTCTGTTCAGAATGAGATGAACTTTCTCCTGTTGTCAAGTTGCCCAAATTGTCAAGAGTCTCACCAACTTCTATCAAGTTTTCTCGACTTCCATTTCCTGCAGGGGCATCTAGCTGAGTTTGGTTCTCTGAATCTATAAGAAGGCCAGGAGGCTTTTGTTCACTAAACCTACTTCCTATGCTTACAGGGCTATCCACAGCAGTCCTAGGTGATGTATCTGAAGAATTAACATCAAGAAAGTCTTCGCTTCGCAAATAAGAGTAAGACCTAAGATTAGGCAAAGAAAAAATCCTTCTCATAGATTTTTTAGCACCCCTACCAGATGAAGGCGTCTTCTCTGTTCTCAACCTTAATTTTTCGGAGTTATAATATTTGGCTTGTCTGCTGAAACTGGATTCATACAAACGGCAATATTTATCCAACAATTCATCAAAAGATGATGCCCTTCTGATGTGTCTCTGTCCACCCTGGGTAAGAGCAGAAACAGATAGATCCCTCACACAACTCCTTCCAGAACTGTATTTACTAGTTTTGTTTGCAGCTGACTCCTTATGCAGATCATTTGTATCACTTTTCTCATCCTTGGAGAATCTATGGCCATAAGGAATTTTGTGAAGGACTGCATCCATCATAATCCGATGCCTCTCTTTTTTACTCTCTCTGATAGCATGTTTTATCTTGTTTCCAATATCCTTGAATCGCTTGATGACGAGTTTGTTATCATGCCAGGACTTCAGCCTGCGTGGTGAACCAGGAGAAACATTAATATAAGTCTCGGGCCTTGCCAGGTATGGTATTGGCATACCATCTTCCCTGCCATCGGCTATTGATGGTGTTGAATGCTCCCTCATACCTTCTACATACTTATAAGCAGTTGATTTTTGGGCTTGACTATCAACTTCTGACTTCTCTTCCCATTCTGCATAAGACCCACTTGCCTGCTCATGCTTAAGATTTCTTGGCTGCACAGCCCTTCTGCGTGTTGAGCCAGCCACAGGAAACGTCACAGACTTGGTCAATCCTATCTTTGAATTGAACGCCATTCGATCATGTAAGTTATATGCCAACGAGGAACTTGGATCTTGAAGAATTTTCAGGAATAATTCCTCCCTCATGTTGAGTAAATCTAGAGCATCCAGAAACAGCTTCGACTCCTGAAGTGAAGCACTTTTAGTTGGCTTTATTGCATATATCAATTTGTGATGAAGAAAAGTATGATCCTTGACATCCGTTTGCCTGCTATGCTCATCAACGTCACTTTGACTCAAGTAATTCATACTGATCATGGCAGCACAAAACTCACATGTTTGGTTGTTGGTAACTATTTCCTGTAATGCCTTTGGGAGGAATTGGTCCAATGCACCGGCAACAGAAAAGTTTCCATTCTCTTGTCGAATAAGCCCCAGATTGTCATTATTAGAAGCAAGTTTGATTCCAGGATCAAGTTCTGAAGGTTCTAGATGATGAAAGGACTTTGTACGAGCAAGTAGTGTTCGTGTCGGGTAGGAAGAACTTCGGCGATGGTGCTTCCTTTTTTTAGAGAGCTCCTCAGAAATCAAAGCTTTTATTCGAGATTTCATGGAGCTTTTGGTTACTGGACTACGCTCTGTGTTCTTCCCTTTGACCTGGTGAATTTCAAATTTTCACACTACTGTTATTATCATATTTTAAACATAAAACACTACAAGATATTCTATATTCTAATTTCTATATTGTGGTTGATGCACTTTTAGATTCCACTTAACCCTTAAAAATTGTAACTTGAAAAGATCAAACCAAAGGTCAAGTGGATCTAGCAAAAAACCATCTTGCACAAACTTACTATAGAGTAGTCAATTTCAGCATCTATGTGTTCTAGCATTTCTCCAACATCAGTGACTGCTAAATCGCTCCCTGTATCTCCAACTGCAAAGAAGGAAAGATGTGGTTAATTAATACGACATAATTTTAACAGACTGTCAAAAATCAGATATAGTCCACCAGGCATTTATATTCTCTAAGAACACTACAAAAAGAACACAAAATTTTAGAATTTTTCTCCATAAACTTGGTATACTAGCCAAAGTGTACATCAAGGAACTTTCCATCTGAGTCTACAACCTACACCCCCTCTTCTTTTCTTATTTTTAACTTAAATTTTTTTCTTGGGGGTAGGGTGGGGGTGGGGGGTACTAGTTGAGTGTATGAAATTTGAAACCCTCATCTACTTCTATGTATCTGCTGATAATAGAACACTCAAGAGTACCATTTAAACCACATGTTGCCAAAAATAAAATTGAGTAAAAGGTTGAAGGAGATGATATAAGTAGAAAATCCAGAATGCTTACCAGCAGCAAGCCCTCCATCACTGTGCTTTTTGTGTGGCAGCCTTTTCTTGACATGGAGCCAACCATGGTGGTGAAGATGATGAAATATGTCCCATATGCATCTGAGGTGATTTTTCCCATAAATAATGCTAGAGTCTTTGTGCTGAATAGTCTTCCCCATTTGGTCCAACAAAGAGTTTTGGGACCAGCCAGTCGAGTTAAGCACTTCCCAGTTCTTAGACCTGACTCGTGTCACAAAACCGATAATTAAGCACCACACGAATGCAACAAGAGATCAAAGATCAAATTTTTTTTCTTTGTTGCCTAGAAATCAGCACGTACAGTAAATTAAACACGCATCTTCATACCATGCAAAGCTCCAATCCAAAAATACCTTCAGATGTCCTAGTTTTCAAATTCAAAACAAATAACTAAATAAAAGGAGGATAAAGAAGAAAGCCTCTGGAAGGTGGCCAATCAACAATGTTGGGAAAAAAATCCTAAGCAGAAAAAAGGACAGCGTCTTGACAATCTATTAGGCATAAGGGCGGAAAAGAAAACAAAAAGTTACAGAGTATATGTAACACTTTCAATCCACAGATTGTGCCTCTAAGTTACTCCAAATACAGTTTAATACATAGAAACAAATGATAACACCGATGAAACGTAATTGCCATAACAAGATCATCTGATTAAATGAGCAGAAAATTCTATTATTTGAAACGTTACAGGAAGAACATGGAAACCAATATTCGAAATTGAAATATCATTTATTTGCTTTCGTTTTCTTAACAGCCAAACGAAGCGCCTAATCATAGGGAAAAGGAAGAAGGGTTGGAAGTTCCTAATGAAGCGCAGAGGGATCATGTTAACACCCAAGATTGAAGCTCCTAGACATATATAGCTGCCATTCATATGATCAATGTCATTTTAGCAGACTAGGTATTCTGGGCAATGTTTGTGTGACATAAAAAAACATACCTTTGGATTGAAACTTTGATGATGTTGAAAAATGAAGTCGCTTTGGTGCTTCATAGGCATGGCCAGAGGCCCAGAGAGAAAGAAAGAGGCGATCCAACAAGAAAGAAGGACGAAGAAGAAATGGGTCGCTATGTTATGTACGTTTTGATTGGTAGAAGACACATCAAAATTCTCCATCACTTTCATACGTTCCCACTTTCTATTTTTGGCGCCCTGTAACCAACCTCTCTCTCTCCCTCTCTCTCTCTCTCTCCGAGGTAAAAAAAAGGATTGAGTAACGGTATGTTTACCAAATATTTTACCAAAAACCAATTTTATCAAAGAGAAATACCATTTGGAGCTAAATATTTGACCTAATTTGTTGATATAATGATGTGACTTCAACAGAATCATTGGATCAACACCAAGTTTTAATGTTTGATGGGCTTCACAGTCAATCCAAAGGTCATAGTAAATTAGATCAATAAATTAGGTTTCAATAGTATTGCTCTTTATCAAATGAGTTGTCTACAGGTGTGTTTGTTTATTCAAATTCACCACTTAAAATGAATATATTCGGTACTTATTAATTAAGCCCGTTTAATAATCAAAATTTAAATTCTCTTAATATGTTACGTGCTCCTTAAAAATATGAAACAATATTAAGTAGGAGATCTCTTAATTAATTCTGAAAACTGAAAAACGCTCAGCAAAACTATCTTTAATCATATTTAAAATATGACAATTATACCCCAAAATATTTTATAATTCTATTAAAACTCTAATTAGTCTTCTCTTCAAAACCTCTATCCTATATATTCTCCTTGTCGATCTCTTTTTTTTTTCTTTCCCTTATCTTCTGTAATAAAAATATACATACATAATTATCATTACATAAACAAACGCATGCACTGCACACACACACACACGCACACACACTGTAACGCCCCAAAATCTATCCTAGAAGGCATTGCTATCTAAAAATCATCCAATCATGAGAGCATCTATAATAACCATTAAATAATAAATCATTCATCCATTTGACAAATAATAAATACTAAAGTCAATAAAACACTATAACTTCTTCAACTTATAATTTAAAACCAAATAGTATCTAGTAGCAGAATAATTAAACTAACTAAAATATTGTTTCACAAATATCTCTCCAAATTCAATAATCAAAACTACATCTTTAAGCATCTACTTCAGAATCCTCATATTAACCCTCTCCATCCTCGAGATCAACCTGTTCATTCAATCTGAGCTCTTCGTCTAAACCATAATCTAAAAAAGATGTCGTTTGTAAGAGGTAAGTACTAAGCTCTATACGAAAATCCTCTCAAGTTCAAACAAGGTTTTGAAAACATATAAAACAGGTTGGTCTCATTTCACAAAATATTGTATATAACTTTTGAAATAAAACAGTGACAGTTTATCAGATCTCAAATTTACGTAGTAACAATAAATTAAATGAATAAGTAAAACCAACATTACCACGTTTTCATCTATCCAAACTTTCCATTACCAACATTGTATTTCAGGTATGTAGTAAAACTAAGCATGAATACACACATTGAGAATACCTGACCCACACACATACCAGATTGGATACACAACTTTAGGAAGGGCGTATACTGACACATTGACAGTGAAGAATCCAACCCAAGAATAGTATATTAGTCATCAGCCTCGATACTTGTGAGCGAGTAATGGTTTGATCCTTGCAAGGCACCAACTCTACTACGAATGGTAGGGAACCNATCATTGGATCAACACCAAGTTTTAATGTTTGATGGGCTTCACAGTCAATCCAAAGGTCATAGTAAATTAGATCAATAAATTAGGTTTCAATAGTATTGCTCTTTATCAAATGAGTTGTCTACAGGTGTGTTTGTTTATTCAAATTCACCACTTAAAATGAATATATTCGGTACTTATTAATTAAGCCCGTTTAATAATCAAAATTTAAATTCTCTTAATATGTTACGTGCTCCTTAAAAATATGAAACAATATTAAGTAGGAGATCTCTTAATTAATTCTGAAAACTGAAAAACGCTCAGCAAAACTATCTTTAATCATATTTAAAATATGACAATTATACCCCAAAATATTTTATAATTCTATTAAAACTCTAATTAGTCTTCTCTTCAAAACCTCTATCCTATATATTCTCCTTGTCGATCTCTTTTTTTTTTCTTTCCCTTATCTTCTGTAATAAAAATATACATACATAATTATCATTACATAAACAAACGCATGCACTGCACACACACACACACGCACACACACTGTAACGCCCCAAAATCTATCCTAGAAGGCATTGCTATCTAAAAATCATCCAATCATGAGAGCATCTATAATAACCATTAAATAATAAATCATTCATCCATTTGACAAATAATAAATACTAAAGTCAATAAAACACTATAACTTCTTCAACTTATAATTTAAAACCAAATAGTATCTAGTAGCAGAATAATTAAACTAACTAAAATATTGTTTCACAAATATCTCTCCAAATTCAATAATCAAAACTACATCTTTAAGCATCTACTTCAGAATCCTCATATTAACCCTCTCCATCCTCGAGATCAACCTGTTCATTCAATCTGAGCTCTTCGTCTAAACCATAATCTAAAAAAGATGTCGTTTGTAAGAGGTAAGTACTAAGCTCTATACGAAAATCCTCTCAAGTTCAAACAAGGTTTTGAAAACATATAAAACAGGTTGGTCTCATTTCACAAAATATTGTATATAACTTTTGAAATAAAACAGTGACAGTTTATCAGATCTCAAATTTACGTAGTAACAATAAATTAAATGAATAAGTAAAACCAACATTACCACGTTTTCATCTATCCAAACTTTCCATTACCAACATTGTATTTCAGGTATGTAGTAAAACTAAGCATGAATACACACATTGAGAATACCTGACCCACACACATACCAGATTGGATACACAACTTTAGGAAGGGCGTATACTGACACATTGACAGTGAAGAATCCAACCCAAGAATAGTATATTAGTCATCAGCCTCGATACTTGTGAGCGAGTAATGGTTTGATCCTTGCAAGGCACCAACTCTACTACGAATGGTAGGGAACCTTCAAACTCACTCGGAGTAAGAAACGCATCTACCTACTCTACGATACCCGGTCAACAGTCACCTATGTTTATCAAAACATCCACACAAGAAATGCAATACCAAACCACCAATTCACCAAATCACAGGCAAACCAAGAACCACAATTCCACAAGTAAACCAAGAACCATAATTTTACAGGTATTTTTCTAACAGAATAACTCAAGAAAATATGTAAAAAATCATCAAGAAATATAATTTTATTGTTCAAACAAAACACTAGAATTTTTAAATCAAGAACATTGGAATATCAAGGGTAAAAACTATATTTCTTAAAAACCAGAGTTTTGATAACAAGAACGAGAATTTTTATGGCTATCAAACGATAACTTTATTCAAGACATGAAATGATTTACAATGAAATCAAGAAACAATGGTTTTATAACATATATATATGATTTAGAATCAAAACATACATATATATAAACACTAACATCAATGAACAAGTTTAGAAAGAAACCCTACCTCGATTTTTGAGATCTTGATCGTAACATATTTCAGTGTGATTACCCGTGTTAATCCTTTAAGATTTAGCATGTTCTTCCTCCTTTTCTTCTCCTCAACTTTCCTAGGGTTTTTGGGGTTGAAAAATAGGTAAATACTCTTTAGATCGCAGGCCTAGTGTATTTATAGGCTGAAAAATAGAGAATTTAGCGCGGATAACAATCTGCCCTTGACTTCCAACTCAGTTTTAGCCTAGTTAAAAGCTGATTCACGAAATTTTTGTGAAATATAATTTTGTAGCCCTTGAAGTCTATTTTCTACAGTTAAAATTTCAGATCAATAAGATTTCCAGATAAAAATTTATAGCCAAAATACTAAGATTATGTCAAATTCCTTTCTACTCAAATTCTCTCTAAAATAAGTTTTAACTCTAGAATATTTCTAAATTCTAATACAACTCATATAACATCTTCCAATGTTTTTCAACCTTACAGATTCAATAAAAATCTTATTTTAACCTAAAAATATTATAAAATTATTTTGTCACCTTTCTCAAATTTAAACATCTCCATAACTCAATTTACTCCAAAATTTAAATACGCTTGAAACTTAAACTATATAATCCATATT